GTCTAGGTAGGGAAAGTATTTTTTTTTTCCATTCTACAACTTAGAAAAATGCAGCAAACTAGAGGTTCCTCAGCAGTTCTGTTTGCTAGTACCAGAGATGCTCCTATTCCAGTTTCAGAAAGCTTGGACTCCACATGCTGTAGCAAGAAGTGTCCCTTGTCTTAGCTGGGCATCCAACTTGCATCCTTCAAAGTTTAAGTCTCCATTCTATAAGGTGAGGAAACAAGTGCTTCACCTGGCAGGCAGAAAGCGTATCACACTGACACTGCGTTCAGAGGGATGCCTGAGGCTGGCTCCTCTCCTCCTGGTGCTGTGATTGCAGCCTTCTGCTCTGCAGCATTTCTGGCCCTTCAGATCCAAGAAGTAACATGTATTTGGGAGGACAAAGGGAAACATTGGCTCTGAAATAAACTAAGCTAAAAACTTGTCAATTGACAAATGCCAGGGAACAGTGTGAAGTACAGGAATTCGATGCTTCTGGGCTCCTAACCATGCAGCTGTTTGGATTATTGAAGCGGCCACGGAAGCTGACAGATGCTTTTTGTGGAATACCTGTAAGAAATACCCATACAATTGGACATGTCTGGGGCTGAAATTTACTCATGAGGGAGTCTAAACATTTTTTTCTTTACTGAGGGCCTAGTGAGACTCCTAAATACTTTTTCTAAGCTGTTCATTAACCACTTCTCTATTGTGCAGTGCTTTCTCCTCACCCGGCCTCAGCTTCCCTTGCAGCAGTGCTCTGCACATGCAGGTCCTTCAGCCTCACTTGCGGATCCAAAGCAGCCCGTCATCCCTGCGCAAAGCCACCAAGTCACCCAGTGATACTCCACACTGAGTTCCTCTTCTGTTTCAGCCAGGCAAGAGGAGGGGATGGTGAGCAACAGAGGGCAAAGGGGGCACAGTACAGAATGAAGTGAGACTTAGGCAGCAGCTGGGACAGCATGGCATGGAGCACCCCAGGGTGGGACGAGATACTGAAAGAGGGTAGGGTTATCACAAGGGAGAAGAGGATGACAGCGGGCTTTTGAGGGGAAGCTTGGTGGAGCCATGGGCTGCCTGGAGAAGGACCCTGGCCAATGCAGACGTCACAGGTCCCCTGGCCCATGTGCCAGAAATTCCCCAAAGATTCTTAGCTGGAATGATATTGCATTTAAATTCAATCTACTTGTATTAGGAAGCCACATCAAGGCTACAAATACATTTACATAAAAATACTGGTATTCAGGGAACTGCAGCTATAGTAAAAAGTAATTTTGTCAAAACAGAAAGCAATGGTTACAGAAAAATAATGACTGTGAAAACAAGGGCTCTGTTTCATTGATGTTCCACATGCAGAAAACACATACTGAAGTAACTAGGGCTACTCTGTGCATTAAGCTGGCCCTGCACTTTAAATCTTCACAGGATTAAGAGCCTATATGGTAAACTTGGATGTTAAATCTGTAAGACTGTTCTTACAGTGGAAACAGAACCAAGACGTGCTCCAAAATGTAAGTCAAGGAAAATGAACATTTGTATCATGCTTGTTTGAGGGAGAAGTAATTTGGCTGGGGAGGAACTAAGGCACCACACACCACTTCCTTGACTTTTTAATGCTTTTCGCTTTTTAGACAGTATTTACAAATTAAGCTCAGGTTGTGTCTCCATGGTGGGTATTTACGTATCAGTGATAATGAGATTGGCATATTTGCCTGTATCTGTATTTACATATGCCATTCTTTTGCTGTCAGTTACATCTGCAATTATGTATTTTGTTACACTCTAGTGCTACATACTGTATTATAAACTGCAATGCTATAAGATTAAGCTCTTTAAAACACTTTTAAAATCATCTCGTTAAAATAACTACAGACAATTAATTAATTTAAGGTAATACACATGTTAAAAATTGCATGGGTGAGCTTTGCAAATTTTTCAGAACCTTTCCAAATTTGCAAAAAGTGACATAATGAAAATATTTGAATTCAGACTTTTTAATGTTCAATATGCTTTAAATCCTGTGACGAACATATTTTTCTTGCTAGGTAAAAGCACCACCATTTAAAAACCGAAACAAAACATAGACTGCAGAACGTCAAGCACCCTTTCATTTTTTAAAGCTACTCTGTGTTATTTTAATATCTGCTGTCATTGACAAAATACTAGGAGAGACTTTAGAAAGCATTATAGTCCACAGTAATACTCTTCAAAATTTTAAGTCTTAAAGTTGATTTAGAGCCGAATATGTCAATCATTCAATTCTGTTCTTTAAAGCATATATGGTTTATCTTAATAATTTGGTTACCCTTTTAGAGTAACATTTCATTAAAAATGTAATGGACCTAGTGTGGTTTCTTCTTCACGGAAAGCAAGAGCGTAGATAGATAGTGTATCATATTCACTCTTTCTGCTGAAAACATTTTGTCCTTCATACTGTTTTTATCTGGCAATTTTATCTGATATATGTAATCAGGCAACACAGACTGTGTAATCTTACCTCCCTTAACAGGGAGGTCTTTGGCAACGTGCCTTACAGTTACTAAGGTGTGTCCTTGCTGGAGCAAAGCCCACAACTTGCCTTTGGTGACGTGACTCTCGTAATCCTCCGAACAACGATCATGTGAACCACCCCCCCACCCCCGCAGTGTTGAAACATTTTCTCTTCACTATGATACAAGCAAGATGAATATAAACCATTAGTGAATTAACTGCATTGTAGTTTGCACAGAGCTCTCGGAATACAAAGTAAAGCGACTTTATACGGCTTGATTCTGCTTCCCCATCATGCAATCAATAGCAGCTTTGCTGCCGAATGTGCAGAGCACCAGCCTGGCCCAATAAATGCTGAATAGTGTTATTAGTGAATGAACAGATGATACAGGAACTCTGCCAACACCGTGCAAGCAATCTGCCTGGGGGATGGGGGAAAGGACCAATGATTTATAGGAGGGGGCTCGATCATCTGGATCAGCAGAGCGGTGGTTGTTGATAGAACTACGCCAGCTTAGGCTGGCTGAGGATCTGGTCCTTAGGAAATTTAATCTGGGGGACAAAGTGAACAAAAGAGCTATATCGTAAACTGCCAAGGCAATGAAAGGCAAGAGTTTAAAATGGATTTAGGATGCAGTTGGGCTTTTTATAAAATAAGGGGATTGACTGAGAAAGACAAAGCAAGGAGACAGGTTTGAGAGAAACTCTGAAATTGCAGTTGAGCTTAACAACGATTTGCTGTCCCACAATTCATTATTATCAAATTTAAGGCAACAATCAGCTTTTGTTGTTTCTGTTTTTGAATTAAACAATCACACCGAATTAAACAGTTACTATTTTAGCACAGGGAATTGAGTCCATTGCTGTTCTTCCAGAAATCGCATAAAACTGCTTCTGACAAGACAGGATTAACTCTTCCATGCAATTATTAAGATATCAGTTAAAGCATGCTTTCTGATGGTAACATACAATGGTTTACTATTGTCTGTATATCTCACACTTTAGCAGGGTGACACTACGATCTGCCATTCAGGCCTTCCTTGCCACTTTATCAGTTTGGCAAGCTAGCAGTTAGCTCTGTCTCTGTACTTGGAAGCAGTACATCTTGTTATCTCCATTTTCCCTTTTACTGCTAATGCCCTGCTTTGACACTCAAATCACAAGCAGAGTGGTAAACCCGTTATTACAGGTAAGATACAACTGAGTATCTAAAAACAAATGGCTTAAAACAAAGGGTCAAATTTTCAAGGCTGAAGCTTGAACTGTGTCTGATTTTTTTTTTCCCGCCAAGCAAAATGTCCCTTCCTCTTTGGGAGCATTTCCCACAGGAGGAACACAGAAACAACAACTGAGAAAGATGACGGTGTGCTGCAACTACTCTGCAACACTCAGAAGGGAGCCCACAAAAAGAGTCTGAAAAGAAGGACCTGCAGGATCCCAAAGGCTTGCTTACGCTGGTACTTAAAGATGCAAATGGAGAAGATGCTGAAGCAAAGAGGCAGAGTGACAATGGCATGATTGACAGGTTAGAGAAGCAAACAGCAGTTGCAGGAAGCTTGTGGAAGGCTGGGACCTCCCAAGTAAATGAAGGATCTTGTGGGGAAGAAGCTGGATAGAGTTACACAGATCTTAGTGGAAACAGGAGACACAACTTCTTGGTTCCACTCTGAGAGGTAGTACATAAAAAAACCTCATAGGTCTCAAGTAAGTCAAGGACTGCCTAGCAGGGAAGAGAAAGGCTTGAGTTATTCTGAAGCACAGTGAATACTCTGAAAGGTGCAACACAAA